TTTAGGCCCTAGATGACTTAATCCTCCAACTAAGACCTAATGTCTCCACCTTTCACAGCACCTTAAGCATTTAGATACAAGATCAGAACCATAACATCCTTTAAGAAAGACTTAATGACTCTGATCCCAGTCCACATTTTGGCTTTTAGTCCTTGGTGACCATTATCATGTTTAGTAAATGCCATATAAATCTCAAGTCTGAACAGGGAGCCAGTCACATGGTCAGGAATGAGAAAATGAGTTGACAGTCTCCTTGGGTAGACAACAGGTGTCTGAACTCAGGGTGATTGAGCTGATGGTACAAATCCAAGTTCTTGAGTTCACAGGAGGGTGAACAGGGTGAGAAGCAGCACTCTGATAGGACAGGACTTCTCTGTGGGTGGGCTTCATGCTGCACAGAGCATCTCAACAGCGTCCTGGTAGCCATCGACCTCATGAAAAGAACACTCCTCTTTCTCAGGATTCCAAAAACATCCCCCAAGCCAGTTTCATTGCCCTGGCTTAGTCATATGTCCATTCCCCAATGGCGTGTCCATGGCCAGCCAGGCTGGCATTGGACTTGTGATAAATTATGCTATTTGGCCAGACTGAATCATGGCACAACCCTTAAATATTGGAACATTGAGTTAGTCCCATGAAAATCACATAAACAAAATGAGAAAGAAGGTAGTAGCAAGGGAAAGCTGGGTACTGGTTGGTACCAAAGAGAAGACTATGGGTGTTGGACAAGTGGAAGCTCTAATGGGCCCATCTCGTTCTACCATTGCGCACCCCAGGGCTGTGGATAAGTCACCTGATCTCTGGGACACAGTTTTCTCATCCATAAAATGAAAGATTTGGACTAATTAGAGCAGGGAATCTCACATTTTAGAGATCTAAGAATTCTCTGAATGGCTAGCTCCTTAAAATAGTTTCTTGGGCCCCACTGCCAGGGATTCTGACTCAGTAGGTCTGGAATGATGGTTAAGGGTTTGGCCATCTGTCAAGTATCCAGCTGGTGCTGATGCTGCTGACCTGGGACCACATTGACCCAGATGCTATCTCAGTTCCATGACATGTGGTCATGCTTTTAGCAATTACAAGTCTCCATTTTGAAGCTTAACCCAGATTTTCTCAGAATGGGAAAGACAAGATAAGCTCATGATTGGCCCTAGGACTGGTAGCTCTGACTTCCCACTTAAGATCCTTTACAGATACTAAGTCAGACCCACCACTCGGGGAGTAGTTAAGTAGACTGCGGTAACTGGCCTGGATACAGTCAACTCTTAGCAAAGCCTCTGCCTTCTCAATTCCAAAGCTCCCTGTTAGCAACTTCTGCCCCCTCCTGATCCACACCAGCCCTGTCCAGACCCACCAAAGACTGACATCTACCAGGAGGTAGAGGGCTCGCTACCTAAGGACACAGAATGGTGTCAGGCAAACCTGGACTCTCATACTCATCAAGATCACATGACCTTCGAAGGTGATTAATCACTTTGGGGCTGTGGCAAGGCAAAAAGTCATGGTTACAAGATGGGATGTACACAGACTCCCCCTGCTCAGGGAGTTGAGGTGAGGATTGATTGATATGAAGGAGGCATAAAGGGCTTAGTCCAGTGCCTGGTTTATAGAAACTTAATCAGAACTAACTGTGTTCCACTGAGTTCTGGCCCAGGATGCCTCTGAATGATCCATAGCTGAGCCTCATTTAATAAGGTATGTTTAAGTCCATGCTCAGTTATTAACAGCCTAACCAGGGGTGCCCCATGCCTCTAAAGCTTCTTCTGTGTTTGCTGAGGGGGTCTAGGTAGAAGGCATTCTAGGGTTAAATGTGTTTGGAAGATTTTGGATTAAAAGCTTTATTATGAGATTTCTCAAAGTTTTTACAATGGTAATTTTCAATGAAAATTTCCAAAAGGAACATTTGGAATTTGATGGTGCCTAAATCTTTTGGGCCATGGAAATCTTTGCATACAGATCTTGTTAATATTTGCTGGTACTGCGTAGTGCTGGGAAACTGCTCAGGAGCTCACCCCTCCCCCTCAAGGCTCCGGTATGGTGGTATTCACATCCAGAGAAGCCCACAGGTCTGGTGAACCAATGCTGAGGATGTTAACATAAGCTATCATCAGAAGCCAGGTTGTTCAGGAGAGAGTGGCTGCCTCAGGATGCTGCCAACACAGGAGGGCTGAGGATACAGGTTACATTTTGGCAACAATTTGGTAAATCATTGTTCTTTGTAGCTATAGGATATAAACATTTTTGAAACCAGCCTGTTAATCTTCCCTGTCCTTTCTCCGGTGATTGAAGATAGGCTTAGGAGCTGGGCAAGCCGTGTGTGAATATCCTCACTGTCAATGTGAGGAGAGGTGGAAGTTCCTGTGTAGAGGGAAGTGAGTGGGAACAGGTTCCTCTTTCTGAAGAGTAGGGTGGGGACATAAACAGGACTAGGCTAAGGCAGTGCCACCATTCCTGTATCAGCCATAGGCATGTACAACCCTACCAGGATGTGGTTAGCTCTTTAAAAAGTCACTAGAGTGTTCTAGATAAAGAGCCATCTGAAGTATGGTGAAGATGCTACCATATTTATTTATGTTATAAACATGCGGTTCTGATGACTGGAAAGAAAACAGCTGTGCTTTTCACAACGGTGCCAGATGCAAATGGGATCTCCAAAAGATGAAATGCGGGGCCTCTTGGGCCACTTGCCCTTGCCTGATGTCTTTGGGCTTGGTGAAACTGCAAGATCAGCATATTTTTGTCAGGATTTTATGTAACTTGTTGAATTCTTACAAGAACACAAAATAAAACAAACTGCTGTCACGGCGCCACGGCCAGCTTCTCACTGTGCTTTCTTGCCCAGTTAAGAGCTGTTGAACTTTGAAGGAAGCCTTGAGCAGAGCAAACTGCCTGTGCAGCGTGAAATACTCACCATTACAGAGCAAAGGCATTCCTCTCGGGCCGTCAGCAAAGCTGAGACCCCCATCGCCTCCAGGCTCCACTTCTAACCAGCTGGCCCATGTCGTGTCTTCATTAGCAAAAGATTTGAAAGCCTCAGCCCAGATGGACCTGAGATTGGGGAACCAGCCACATCTATTTGCAGAAGTGCATTACTTGCAGTTTTATGAGGGCGGTCCACACAAATGTGACAAGGATGTGGCTTCTTGATAGCCAGGAGAGGAAAGCATTTTTTTTTTAAGGTTGCCAGGTTTCAGGGGGCGTCGACCAAGGGTGCTTCCTCCAGCATACTAATTTTACCCCAAGGCTAAGGTGGCTTATGTGACTCTTTACTAAGTCCCTCTTTCAGCCAAGCTCTTCCCTGAGTTTGGCTTTTCTTTTTTGGGTTCCTGGAGGTACTGGCAAGCCTGTGTCTGCAGGACCCCTGTGGGCCTGTGGGCAGTGACCAACTTTCCTCCCTTCGGCAGCAGAGTCAGCTGTTGGTGATGGGCTCTGCGCAGTGGACCATGCTAAGCAGATGGGGAGGCCTCCGGCACTCTCAGGCCCACGTGCTCTGGCAGCGGGGTCGGCTTAAACACTCACTTTTAGTGTCCGTGTGTTGCTAAACGAGAGTCCTAAAGGCTGCTGCCCTGGGGCTTGGGGGAGAAGACAGAAGTGAGGGCGGGAGAGCAAAGAAGCCCCAGGATCCTAGGAAAGGGCCAGCCTTGCTCCCCACTGGATGTCAGCGGGATTTTACAGGAGACAAAGCTGAGGGAAAGTGAGCATTGGTCATAACAAAGGAGGCTTATGACATAACTGGTGACTGATGACAAAGACTTTAGTCCAGAGCCTGACTCATTGTCCCCAGCACCTCTCCACCAACTCTTCCTTCTGCCAGTCAGCTTGTAATTTAAATCAGGAATCTCGGAACTGGCAGGTAGGGGAGATCATGGAGGCCCTAAGGACTGGCTGTCAGAGGCGCGGCACTCCAAAACTGATCAAATGGTGTCAGTGGACAGATGTGCAGGGTCCTGCCGTGACCACACTGAGATCATGAGGCAGCTGTGCGATCAGCTGTCACCTCGTGAGGAGGTGCCGGTGATTCAAAGAGAACAGGGGAACACACGGTTCTAAGCCACAGCACCTTACCCCGCTGAGCACAGTTCCCAGGAGGTCTGAATCCTTCTTTCCAGGCTCCTATCAGGACAGGCCATCGCTTCTCTTTTGAGAGACAGGAATCCACATGTAGTGAAAACCACCAGGAAGGCTTGTTGGCAGGAAAGCTGCAAGTGATCTCATGAGGGTAAAATGAGTGTCTCATTCCTTTCGGGGCTCTGTGTGTTAAAGTGCAGAAACGGAACAAAGGTGACGAATACGTGCTCATTGATGGCCCTCGGCCACCATTGACTTCATCTGTGAAGAACTGTTTGTATTTCCAACCCAGTTTGGCACATTTATTCTTCCCGAAGCTTTCTGTCCAGCAGGTTTGCTCGGTTCTGAAAATGGAGGAAAACTAAGGACTGGGTGGATTAAGTGACTTGCCCAAAGGGACAGACAAATGAGCACTGGGTGGCAGAGGAGCTAGTGGCAGGGTGGAGGGACACTTAAGGCTTTGAAAGAACATGATGAGAACTTCAAGGGCTTAAACTTGTTCCCATTCACTCAATTAAAAGGCTTCGTGTTTGTGTTTATTCAAAATACCTTATAAAATATTGATTTTTTTCAGTTGTAAAATAAAGGCGTGAACACATAATGATAAAGACCAATGTACATTGTGGATGAACGAATGCCTTCCTCCAGGATAAAACTCAAGCCAAGCCTTTTATTAAACTGGGGAGAAATAATGGAGTGATTGGATCCCACCAAAAGGTACAAAAATATATAAAGAAAATCACATACACAATATTAATTTATTGATAATGGAAAATAGAAATAATGACTGCATAAGAATTGTGAATTATTTACCTTGGAAGCATCCCCACCCCCAGTAAAGGAAACATTCCACTTCTCAGAACTAATTGATGCTCTGTTCATTTAACTTTATTCCTTAATCATTTTTTTTAATGTAAGAAACAGCTTGATGCACTGACAGTACAATGTGTAACTGAATGCTGCTTTTCTTTCTTTCTTTTTTTAAAAGATATATTTATTTATTATGTATACAGAAGAGGGTGCCAGATCTCATTACAGATGGTTGTGAGCCACCATGTGGTTACCAGGAATTGAACTCGGGACCTCTGGAACAGCAGTCTGTGCTCTTAACTGCTGAGCCACCTCTCCAGCCCCCTTAATCATTCTTTAATTATTTTTACACACCATTAACAACATAACCCAGTGAATCAGTGGCCACACTGTATAATTTTGTACCTGCCTTGTTAAAGGCTTACAGTGTCATGTTTTTTTACTCCAAAGTGTTAGCTTTGTATCATCTCAAATGGTACCCATTAATACTTCCACCACTGTAAGTGTGCTAGACTCTCGATGCTGTGTCACAGTATCTGTTCTAACCACTTAAGGAAGGTAGGACTTACTTTGGCTCACAGTTCGAGGGTTTCAACCCATCTTAGTGGAGAGGTGTGGGAGAGCAGAACAGCTTGCCTCATGGTACCCAGGAAGCAGAGAGAAAGAAAGCCTATGATGGATTTTTTTCTTTCTTTCTGTAGTTGATCCTCTATGGAAACATCCAGAACTTCACTTTACTAATCTTTTGTGTGCTTCTTAATCTAACCGCATTGACAAGAGTTTCCAGCATGAACCCATCCCTTTCAGACCTGACTCCCAAACATATCTCATTCTACCCTTGGCTCTCAAAAGGCTTATGTCCATTACATAATACATTCTGCAAAATGCATTATGTTCATCTCCAAGAGTCTCCATAGTCTCAAGAGCACCAACACTGTCCAAAAGTCCAAGTTTAAAATCTCCTCTAAGACCCAAGTTAAATTCTTACCTGTGAGTCTTTGTAAAATCAAAAGGAAAATTAGGTAGTTATAGTATACAATGGCATTCCCATTTCAAAAGAGAAAAAGTAGGAAAAGAAGAAGTAACAGGCCAAAGTAAGACTGAAAGCCAGGAGGCCATTGTTAAATCCTGTGGGTTCATGCCTGGCATCCTGGATACATGGTGGTGGGAAGTTGAGTTCCAAATAACTTGGGGAAAACTGCCTATGGCTTTTGCTGGTTGCATCTATATGGTGTCTCACTTGGATGGGCTCTACTAGCTCCAGGCATACTGGCCTTCCTCAGCAGATGTTCCACATTCCTGATACCAATGACATCCTAGGGTCACTGCAGCTTAGGTTGGACTTCAAGTCTCATGTATAACCTTCTCAGGAGCTGCCTACAGGGATTCTGACCCTGCTATACATTATCTGGTCTCCTATGCTTTGTTTTGAAACTTGGGTAGACACTTTTATAATAACCCTATAATTGTTGCGTTCTACATGCCTGCAAAGCCAGCAATGCATAGATAACATCAAGTTCTGCAGCCAGTTTGAACAGTAGCTGGGTCCCCTTTAGATCCATGGCTATAGTGGCTTCTGGGTATGGCTAAACTCAGAAACACACTTACCTATGGCATCCTTGGTCTGTCAGTGTACCTCTGAGCTCTCTTTTCAAATGAGTAAAGATCTTTACATCCTTAAGCCTACAATGAGAAGGAATCAGGATTCCATCAGGACATCTTTGCTATTGTCCCAACGAAAACTATTTTGTTTCCTTTGAATGTCTCTGACCTCTTCAGCAGCCACGCTTTCCCCAGCCCTAGTTTTTTGTGCACTTCTTTTTAGGGCAAAGTGAAAAAAAAATTAACATTTCTACCCTACTTTTTATTCTTAGTTTTCTTTGTAGACATGTAAACATAGTCTAGCAACCACCATGCTATACAGCCTGAGTACCAGGTTGCCTTGAGTTTTTTCATTCTTTCAATTGATCCATTTTTTTGAAACTCAAGTTCAAAGTCTCAGGGCATAGACGAAATGTAGACAAACTCTTTGCCACAATGTAACACAAGTGGCCTGTGGTTTAATTCTCAGTTTTGCCCTTGGCCCCATCTGGAGCCTCACAACTACAGTCTTTACTGCTGACATTGCCCCCAGCATTCTGAGCTCTCAATAGAATCATGCATTAAGCTCATCCTGGAGTATTCTTAGCTTTCGCTAGCATATCTTTCCAAACTTTTCTAGATTCCTCCCACAAACCGGTTCCTGAGTATTCTGATCAGCACTGCCAGGTAGTCATAGCAATGGTCCCACTTCACCGCTACCAAATTTCCATGTTGGACTTCTCATCACAGTGGGGAAATAAGTGACAGGAGAAACCATAGGGAAGATGGTTGATTTTTAGCTCCTGTGGAGCATAGCATCTCACCCCACAGAGGTCAGGAAGCAGAAAGGGAACGCCTGATTTCTCCCTTTCCCTTTCTTATTCTTCCCTGGCAACAGCTTTATATACCAGATGCACATTAACCTCCTACCTGTTTCTCAATCAGATTGAAAATCAAAATTAATCCCACAATGTATAATTCTCAAAAATCTGTTTCTTATTCTCTCAGTTATATAACCCTCACTATGGCCAGTATTATCTCCCACGGTGGTATAAATTGGTTGAAGGCGGAAGAGTAGCAAAAACTTACTGTTTTATATATAGAAAACATAGATCTACACTGGTCATAACTACAGACACAGTGGTCTCTTGGTACATGTAGGAAATTGGCTGCAGGACTCCTCAATAATACCAAAATATGAAGTTACTGAAGTCTCTTCCATGAAGTGGCAGAGTATTTGTAACGAACCTACATACATCCTCCTATATATTTTAAATCATCTCTATTACTTATAACACCCAATCCATTGTAAATAGAATGGTTCTTGTAGTGTTTTGTTTAGGGAATAATGACAAGAAGAGCCTATATATGTCTGAGGCAAACGTATTTTTTCAAGTATTTCTAATCATTTGTTACATTAGACATATGGAACCCACAGATCTTGAGAGATGACTGTTCAGAATATCCACTGCATTAAAATTTCATGTGGGGTAAGACCATTCAGTAAAAATATATTTAAAGGGAGGAGGCAAAACATTGATGGGTAATAATAAAGCCAGGTTTAGGAAACATTGCCAGACACCTATGCTTGTCAAACCTGGTTGCATGGTGGAATTTTCTTGGCTCCTTAAGAAACAGGGATTCCAGAAGCAGAGCAAGCTGTTGCTCAACACACCAGTGATAACTTCCCTAGAGGAACAGCAAGTTCTACAGTTGTTTATGCACCAGAACACCAACCTCAGAACTCAGGAAACTGGGTGATCCCATGGTGCCTGCCTTTTGTATAAACAAAATTTTAAAAAAAAGTGCTGAAGAAAGTAGACAGAAACAGGTTATACCTCTATCCCAACTTTGAACTACCCAGTCCAGAGAGAGAGGGAAAGAAAGGGATGGAGGGAGGGAGGGAGGAAGGGAGAGAACTAAGGGGGGATGGAGGGAGGAAAGATAGAGAGATAGAAAGAAAGATAGATAAATAATAGATAGATAGGCAGATAGATGATAGATAGATAGATAGATAGATAGATAGATAGATAGATAGATAGATAGATAGATAGATAGATAGATAAGTCAATTGATCCCACTTATGGGAGGATATGAGAATTCAATCCAGGTCTTAGACTTGAAACCTAGCACCCCATACCCAGTATAGTAAGAGGTAGTGTTGATCAAAGCCCTGTCCTATAGCCAACCTACAGAATGAGCCACTGTAAGTGCATTAGGCCAGGTGCAAAAAGACAGCTGCCTCCACCATCAACCTCCACCATTCCTTCAACCTCAGGATGCAAGACTTTAGCCACTGAGGAGCAGGGCCCATAAGCTAGCACAAGGTTTTGTCTGAGTCCAATGTCACACTCGCTATAGTGAGACCAAGCACAAGGCAGTAACTAAAGGGCCCGTTTGCAGACAGAGCTTCTAGACCATCTCTGGCATCAGGTGGAGACATGTATGTATGTGTAGGACTAACCCAGATTTCTGTGCTGGAAGGGGCTTGGAGCACATTTATCTTCTTCCCAAGACTCTGCAGGCAGAGAGACTCAGCTGAGACTCAGTTTACCATGGCCAGAGGTCGCCTCTACTATCCATCCCCTGAACTCTAGCAACACTCTCAGGCCAGTGCTCACACCTGTGCCCCAGTGGGACAGACTCATGTTTGAGCCCGCATCACTGATGACTGCACTGTAGGACTTGGAGTACTCCTGAAATGGTGCAGACTTTTACAGCTGAGAAATACAGGCACGGCCAAGTTTAACATCAGCCCAGGTGGCCCAGGTTCTGCCTTTACCAGTACTAGATAAACTTCAGACAGCATGGTGTGGTGAGAGACCTGTTTCAGGAAGAAGGATCGGGTAGCAGTCATAAGACTGACTATATCCTGGGATTTAGAGCTGGACCTGGGAAAGTTAATCTCAGGTCCATCCCCTGGGGGTGGAGCCTCTGGAGCAATTCTA